TAACCGCTGCAGCCCCAAGATAGCCCCAGCATCCCCTTTCCCTCCAAAACCCAGATTCCTTTGCTCCTAGGATCCAAGTACCTTACCCTGACTTCCTGCTTCCAGATCTGAGCATTGATGCCATGGATGTGGCTGGGGAGCAGCAGCTGGATGTGGAACACAACCTGTTCAAGCAACGGCTGGATAAGGATGGCATCCCCGTGAGCTCAGAGGCAGAGCGTCATGGTAACTGTGAGGAGGAGGCCAGATCTCAGATCCCTGAGCTGGACATGCCCAGCCCCTTCCTTCTGACAAGTGGGATGTGGTTGGCCAAGTGACAGATGAAGCAACTAAGACCCAGAGAAGTCAAGTGGCTTGCTTAGGGTCCCCCAGCTATTAAGGATCAGAGTGGACTGAAATCCAGGCTTCTAGCCTCTGTACATTGAGTAGAGTACTCTACCTGGCTATCACTCTCAGAGGTCTCCAATCTCTGCCTATCACTGTTGAGTAACAAAAGTTTGAGGATGGGTCTTATGTGCTCTCGTCGTGGCAGAACTCCTCTAGATGGATCCAAGCTTCTCTAGGTGTTTGCTTCCCCATCCCGTTAGCTGAATTCAGCCCTTAATGCTCTTCCCCTTTGGAATGCAGGGTGGCTTACGGTTAAGAGTTTACGTTCTTGACTTAGATTGCCTAAATTCAGATGTAACTTTGTCTCTTGCAGTCTGTGACCTCAGCTATAAAGTGGTAGTACCCACCACATGGAATTATAGGATCAAATGAAGTCATGTGTATGATGCCTGGCACAAAGTAGCTGTTCACCCTAGCTTCCTTTCCTGTCTCTAGGCAGCCTCCCAGTGCCTACATTAACTCAGTTTCCCACCATAACAAAACCCTCCTCAAAGCTGTGATTTCTCACACCTTAGGGATGGCTGTGTTGTGAGTTTTATCAGTTGTTCATTCAACAGATATATGTTGAACACCAGTAAAACCAGAGAATTTGCTGTAGGATTGGATGTAGGGTATAAGACAGCAGAGTCAAGGTTCATTCCAAGGTTTGTGGCCTGAGCAAATGAATGACTTGAAATAGGGATGACCAGGGAGGAGGAGGAGGATTTTGTGTGGGTGTGTGAGAGAGGTGGGGGAATATTCTATATCTGCTATTATGTAACAAATTACTCCCAAAATTAGTGGCTTAGAGCAAAAACATTTGTTTTTATCAGTTGCTATGGGTTAGGAATTCAAGAGGGGTGTGGTTGGCTTACAGTCTCTTAGGAGATTGCAGTCAAGCTGTTGGCTGGGGCTGCAGTCATCTGAAGGCTTGACTGGGGTTGGAGGATCTGCTTCTAAGAGGGCTCACATGTATGGCTGTTGGCAAGATGCCTCAGGGCTTTCACCACATAGGCCTCTCAGTGAATATCCTCATAGCATGGCATCTGGCTTCTCCCTGTGCATGTGATCTGGGAGAACACAAGGTGGAAATCATCACAACTTCTTTTATAACCAAACCTCAGAAGTTACACACCATCATTTCTGCAATATGCAAGTGGCTACCCAGATCAGCCTTATTCACTGTGGTAGGTGGAGGCTACATAAAGATGTGAATACCAGGAGGTGATGATTGTTGGAGACTTCTTGGGGACTGGTCCCCCAGGAAAGGATGAGGATTTGGGAGTAGATTTCAGGTTTGAGTCATGTTAAATTTGGGAAATGCCTTTTTTTTTTTTAATTTGAGAGAGAGAGCATGAGTGGGGGAGAGCAGAGGGAGAGAGAAAATCTTAAGCAGGCTCCACACTGAGCACAGAGGCCATGACCTGGGATCTCATGACCTGAGCCACAATCAAGAGTCTGATGCTCAACTGACTGAGCCACCCAGGCACCACCTGGAATGTCCATTTTATACCCTAGTTTTATGCCAAGTTAGATATACCAGTATAGATGTTAGAGAAGGGATGGAGAAACAAATGTAGTTATCAGCATTCAAAGCTATTGGACTAGAGAAGAAAACCTAGGGAGTAAATATAGGTAGAGGAGAGGTCTAGGGACTGTACCCTGAGCCCCGCCAATATTTAGAAGTCAGGAAATGAGGATCTAGGAAGGAAGATTAAGCCATTAAAGTAGAAGAGAACCAAAGATGTTGCAAAAGCCAAGTGGAAGAAGAGTTTTAAGGAGAGTGAACAACTGTCAAAAGCCCCTGAGAGTCCAGTAAAATGTAAGAGCTGACCATTGCAATTGGCAACATGGAGGCCACTGGAGGCTTTAAAAAGAATAGTTTCGATAGTGTTGAGGATGAAAATCTGACCAAAGGACAGAAAAGGAAATAGAGACATTGACTAAAAACAACACTTGCAGGAGTTTTGCCAGAAGAGAAAGCAGAGAAGTAGGGGAGGCTGGCGGAGAATGCAGGTGACATGGTGGATTTGGTGGTGAGATTAAGTGGATTCTGTTGCTTCTCTGTTCTTCGTGGAAATCGAAAGCAAGGTCATTAAGAGTGAAGAAAGGGAAAGGAATTATGGAAGCCAAAGATGAGAGGCAGAAATAAATTTAGTCATCTCAGATAATGGAAAGTGAGCTGATTAGTGAAATGGGGCAGGATTGCCAGGCAGCCTATTTTTTTTTTTTTTTAATGTTTATTTATTTTTGAGAGAGAGAGCACAAGCAAGGGAGGGGCAGAGAGAGAGGAAGACACAGAATCCGAAGCAGGCTTCAGGCTCTGAGCTGTCAGAACGAGCCAGACATGGGGTCAAACTCACGAACCGTGAGATCATGACCTGAGCCGAAGTCAGACTTAACTGACTGAGCCACCCAGGTGCCCCTGTCAGGCAGTCTTAAAGGAGGCACAGGCAAGAGGTAGGCACAGAGGGTTGAATTTAAGTAGGGTTTGGGTTTTGTGAGGCTGGTACAACAAAGAGAGAGAGGAACAGATGGGTTCTGGCTATGTGCAAGACCATAATTACAACAGTGAACCATGGCATTTATTTCCCACCTTTGTCAAGATATAATTGAAATACATTGTGTAAAATTAGGGTGTACAGTGTGATGATTTGATTGCATATATGAGACAGTTAACACAATATGGTTAGCTAATTATCCATCACTTCACATAGTTACATTGTGTGTGTGTGTGTGTGTGTGTGTGTGGTGAGAACATTTAAGATCTACTCTCTTAGCAGATTTCAAGTATACAATATAGTATTGTTAACTGTAGTCACCATTCTGTACATTAGATCCCAGAATTTATTCACCTTCTAACTGGAAGTTTGTACCCTTTGACCAACATTTCCCCATTTCTCCCACCCCAGCTGCTGGCAACCACCATTCTACTCTGTTTCTATAGTTAGGCTTTTTTAGATTGCACTTGTGAGATCATGAAGTTGTCTTTCTTTATCTGACTTACTTTACTTAGTGTAATGTCCTCTTGGTTTATCCATGTTGTTGCAAATAATAGAATTCCCTTTTAATGGCTGAATAATACTCCATTATATGTATTTACCACATTTTCTTTATCCATTCCTCTGTTAACAGATACTTAGATTGTTTCCATGTCTTGGCTGTTGAAAATAATGCTGCAATGAACATGGGACTGCAGATAACTCTTCAAGTTATTCTTTTCTCTTTTCTTTTCTTTCCTTTTTTTTTTTTTTTTTTTTTTTTTTTTTGGATATACCCAGAAGTGGGATTGCTAAAACATATGGTAGTTCTCTTTTTAATTTTTCAAGGAACTTCCATACTGTTTTCCATAATAGTTGTACCAATTTACATTCCTGCCAACAGTGCACAAGTGTTCCCTTTTCTCCACATCTTCGCCAATACTGGTTTTTCTTGTTTTCATTTATTTTTTTATTTTTTGGATTCAAACAGGTGTGAGGTGTATCTTATGGTTTTATTCTGCCTTCCCTGATGATTAATGATGTTGAGCTCTTTTCCATGTATCTATTGGCCATTTGTATGTTTTCTTTTGAAATAATGTCTATTCAGGTTCTTTGCCCATTTTTAATTGTATCGTATGTTTGTTTTGCTGTTGAGTTGTATAAGTTCCTTATATATTTTGGATATTAATACCTTATCAGATATATCTTTTGTGACTATTTTATTTTACTCCATTCTGTTAATTGTTTCTTCTGTGCAGATTTTTATTTTGATGTAATCCCACGTGTTTATTTTTGCTGCTGTTATCTCTACTTTTGGTATCATAACCAAAAAATTATTGCCAAGACCAGTATCAGGGAGTTCTTTACCTATTTTCTTTGAGGAGTTTTACAGTATGAAGTCTTACATTTAAGTCTTTATTTCAAGTTGATTTTTGTGAGTTGTGTAAGATAGGGGTCTAGTTTCATTTTTGGCATGTGAATATGCAGTTTTCCCAGCAGCGTTTATTAAAGACACTGTCCATTCCCCATTTGGACCATGGAATTTAGATAAGGAGGGAAGTGAGGGCATGAAGGGGTCATGGTGTTAGTGGTGTCAAAAAATTGGTGGATTCTGGGTACCAGAGATAGTGAACTGGGAAAATAAGGATAAGTAGTTGAAGATTGGGATACTTGAAATTGAATTTTGGAAGGTTTGCGGTAATTGGTCATAACAAGGTGTAGGTATGTGTGTGGAAATGAAGTGGGATCAGGCTGAGATGAGATGACAAAATAAAAAGATTGTTGGAAGATAGGAGGTCAAGGTATTAACTATTGAAATCACCAGTTATGATGAGGCAGGGAGTCAGGTGCAGGGAGAGAGGCCTGAGGAGAAGCACCACGGTGAAGTGGTTAAAGGCTTGGGAACTGGGGCTGAAGTCTACCACTTACTGTGTTGCGTTGGGCAAAGTCACTCCTCGTCTCTGAGCCTCAGCGCCTTTGCAGGTACAATGGGGATAATAACCCCCACCTTCATGAAGTCCTTGTGGGGGTGACAAGAGACATTCTGTGTATGGCGACCTGTACTCAGCTAACATTTAGTATTTGCTGTTATTATTTTTATTACTGTTACTTTTATTTAAAGAAATACGTGTGGAAGTGTTTAGTGCCTGGCACATAGTGTGTGCCATATAAATATTAGCTATTAGTATAATTTTTATTATTCCTAAGCCACAGGTCAGAGGGCCTGTGCAGGGGTCAGGGGTGGAGATTTCATGATGTCTGCTCCCAGCTGATGCCCCTGCCTCTGCCCTTCCCGTAGAGCTTGGGAAAGTCGAGGTAAAGGTGTTTGACCCTGACTCCCTGGACCCTGATCGCTGTGAGAGCTGCTATGGTGCCGAGACTGAAGACATCAAGTGAGCTGGACCCCGGGGACCCAGGGTTGTGGGAGCTCCCACCAGGTGCTGTGTGCCGGCCATCCTCAGCCTGTGTCAGACTCCCACAGGTGGAGGAAGTTGGACCAAGAATTTAGCAGAGATGGGGTGGGTGCCTCAGTCACTCATCCTGGTGCAAGTGACTGAGGCTCTGTGGCCAGGCCCTGCCTGGGCCACAGCTGCGCACGAGGCTGAAGCGGCCCCTGCTCTGGTTCAGAAGTGGTCTCAGAATCCAACTGCCTGGGTTCCACCCTTGCATCCTTGGGCAAAGCCACGTAACCTCTCTTGTGAAGGAGGGGTGATGATAACCTTTCCCATAATAGTCACATGAAGATTAAATGTATACTGTATGTAAAGCACTGAGGTTGAAGGCCCAACCCAGGTAATTAGGCCCTTGATATGTGGCAACTGCTGTTATATTCCTCAGGCCCTGGCCCCTGAGAAGCTGATTCAGAGGGTCTAGGGTAGGGGCTGGGAATATGTATTTAAAATTTTTTGTATTGTAAAATATATGACTTATAAAACTTACCACATTCACGTGTACAATTCAGTGGTATTAACTACATTAATAGTGTCGTGCAGCCAGCACCACTCTGTTGTAAAACTTTTCATCACCCCAAACAGAATGGGAATATACATTTTTAACAGTCCTGATGCCTCTGAGGAAACATACTTTGAGAATATCAGTGGTCAAAGGATGAGGCTGGCAGAGGCTTTGTTAGTGGACAGAACTGCTTTATTTCCCAAGGTATCAGCTCTGTTTTCGTGCCTCTTTGACACTCACCCTGCACCCCCTCTCCTGCAGGTGCTGTAACACCTGTGAGGATGTGCGGGAGGCTTATCGCCGTCGGGGCTGGGCCTTCAAGAACCCAGACACTATCGAGCAGTGCCGGCGAGAAGGCTTCAGCCAGAAGATGCAGGAGCAGAAGAATGAAGGCTGCCAGGTGTATGGCTTCTTAGAGGTCAACAAGGTACAGGAGGGACTCAGGCGGGAAAGGGCCAGCCGAGCTTCGGGTTGGCCCCACTCGGGCCCTCAGGAGACCAAGAGAAGGGGGAAAATGGCTGGAGAATGAGAGGGAATATCCCCTACAGGTGGCTGGAAACTTCCACTTTGCTCCTGGGAAAAGCTTCCAGCAGTCCCATGTGCACGGTGAGTGACACCACCTCCACTGGGGAGTTTTAGACCCTGGATACCCCTGCACTTGCCTGATGTTCTGTGTCTTTGGCCCAGAAGAGACCCTCATCTCGGGCAGCAGTTTGGCACACAGTTAAGAGCACAGGCTGAGGAGCAAGACTGCCTGGGTTCAGACATCAGTCTCACACTAACGGCTGTGTGGAACTTTGAGGAACTTCCTTAACCTTTTTGAGCTTGTTTCCTACTGTATAAAATGGAGACGATAGTACTTATTTCCTAGGGTGTTTGTGCAGGTTAAAGATTGCAGCACATGGGGCTCCTGGGTGGCTCAGTCACTTAAGCATCTGACTTCAGCTCAGGTCATGATCTCTCAGTTCGTAGGTTTGGGATTCTCTCTCTCCCCTTCACTCTCTGCCCCTCCCCCACTCTCTCTCTCTCTCTTCTTTCTCTCTCTCTCTCTCTCAAAATAAATAAACTTAAAAAAAAAAAAAAAAAAGACTGCAGCACAGAGCCCAGCTTGTGGTAGGCACTTGTTCAAAATGTAGACCCCAATATCGGATGATCCATGTGTGAGGCTTTGGGATCAGCAGACCTGGGTTGGAACACTGGTTCTGCCACTCCTGAGTTATATCAGATTTGGGAAATACTGAGCCCTACTCAGTTTTTTTTATTTTTTTTTAATTTATTTTTTATTTTTTTTAATTTTTTTTTTCAACATTTATTTATTTTTGGGACAGAGAGAGACAGAGCATGAACGGGGGAGGGGCAGAGAGAGAGGGAGACACAGAATCGGAAACAGGCTCCAGGCTCTGAGCCATCAGCCCAGAGCCTGACGCGGGGCTCGAACTCACGGACCGCAAGATCGTGACCTGGCTGAAGTCGGATGCTTAACCGACTGCGCCACCCAGGCACCCCAACTCAGTTTTTCCTCCTGTAAAATGGGGCTGAAGATACTGATACCACCCTCACAGGGTTGTTCACAGGGATGAATAAATGGGATTTATTTTCATTCATTTATTCACCCGTACATTCACTAGATACTTAGTAGTCACCTACCGTGTGCCCCATTGTAGTCTGGGTGCTAACAATACAGCAACAAACAAAGCAAAGTCCCTGTCCTCAGAACATTATATAGTAAAGAAACACCATGAACAAGTTGTAAAATATATGGACTATCAGATGCTATTAAGTACCATGAAGCAAAGAAAAGCAGGACAAAGATGACAGAGGCGAGGGGCTCTGGTGAGATGGTGTGTGTGCGCTGCTATGTATTGGGGGCAGAGAGACTCTAACGGGGTGGCATTTGAGTAAAGACCTGAAGAAAGTGAAGGAGCTGGCCATAAGGATGTCTGGGTGAAGGATTTGAAGCAGAGAGAAGAGCAAATGCAAATCTCTGAGGAGAGAGTATGCTTGGCAAGTTCAAGGTGCAGTAAGAAAGCTGGGGGCTGGAGCAGGCTGGTGTGGTTAGTGATAAGGTGAACCAGGTAACAGGGCCATGGCAGGCAGGGCGTGGAAGGACACCACAGGGACAAGGGCTCTTACTCTCCATGAGATACAAGTCCATCCAAGGGATCTGAGGAGATGCTTCATGATGTGACTTGACTTTCAGAAGTAGGCGGCACTCTGCTGTGTGGATAATATGGGGAAGAGGGGCAGGACAGAACCAGAGAGGCCAATGGGAGGCCATTGCGATGGTCCATCCCAGCACAGGATGATGGGGGCCAGGCCAGGCTGGTAGTGGAGGGCCAAGCAGTAATTACTTACGTTTGAGGGTAATGCCAAGAGGAGTGGCTGATGGGTGTGAAGGGTGAGGGAAGGGGAGCAGTCAAGGATGACTCTGAAGTTTTGTGCCTGAGTAGTGAGGATGAAGTTGCCATTTAGGGGGAGGGGAAAATTCAGAGGAACAAGTTTAGATGGCTGGGCGAGTAAAGTGAAATTCAGCTTTGTACGGGTTCAGAGCAGTGGGATTTGGGCATCCTTTTAGACCACCCAGATGCAAGTAAGCAGTTGGCTGTTCAATGTGGAGGTCAGGGGAGAGGTCTGGCACAGAGATACAGATGTGGGAGTCCTCAGGCATGTAAAACCATGGAACTGGGTGAGGGCCCCCTGCAGGTGAGGGTAGGTGGAGAGGAGGACTCAAAGGACTGAGCATGGCACCTCCACTATCAGAGTGCGGGCAGGGGGAGAACGGGGGGCAGGGGGGGGAACGTGGAGAGGTGGGGTATACGTTGGAGGGGGGGGGAGCGGGGGAAGACACAGCAAGAAGACCAGTAAGAAACACTTGTGAGAGGAGAATGCCCGCCAGGAGGTGGTGTCCTGAAAGCTTGGGGATGGAGGTGTTTCCAAAACTGTATCAGATGCTTCCGGACATCAAGTACGAGTTGCCCATTGGGTGTATGACATGGTGGTAGTCATTGTGACCTTGACAGTAGTTTTTGTGGAGTGATAGGGAGCACCCATTGCATGGGCTCTGGAGAGAATGGGAGAGGAGTTGAGCCGGTGAGTAAGGACAGCTCTTTTGTAGAGTTTGCTGTAAAGGAAGGAGAATGTGCTGATGCTGGAGGGAAATGTGGGCTCAACGGCATGGTTTTGCCAGAGGTGCGACATGTGACGTAGGTTAACATGCTGTGGGAAATAGTCTGCTGAATAGTTAGCAAAAGTCATGCTCCATGGGTGGGAGGGACAGTTGTCAGAGTGAAGTCCTTGAGAAGGAAAAAGACAGAATCTAGTACCTCAGAAGTGTAGAATAAAGCCCAAATTCGGCAACAGGAGGAAAGGCAGACTATGTCTGGACAGGTAGGATGGCAGCCGGGTGATGGGGACACCATCAGGCAGTGTGACAGGGTTGTGAGGAGTGAGTTGTGGCCAGAGGCTAGAACCACTGAGAAGAGGCATGGAAGGGCTGACTTGCTGTTCTGGGTGGATCTGATAGTGATTAAAATAAGTAGGGATAGTTGGGATAGCTTGCCACGAGCTGCAAAGCTGGGAATTTTAGGGCAGCTCGAGGGTCAGTGATCTGGAAGTGGCATTAAGGAGCAAGGAGGGCCTCACTTCATGCCACAAAGGAGGATAAATGTGGGGAAGAAACTGTCGCCACTAAGAGGGCTACAGGGCGCTTTCGAGGGAGAGCCAGGCTGCGGTTGGAGCAAGAAGGTGAGTGGAATGTGTAGAGGTTGAAGATGTAGGGGTTTCGCTGATGAGTGATGGAGCCCCCTGGGAGGGATGGGAGTCGGGGTCATATTGAGGGATGTACAGAGCCACGGTGTGACAGAAGTCCAGGGGATGAGAGATGAGTTGGCGGTCCTGAGATGCCTCGTCACTAAGGGAAGCAGGAGTAAAGGGCCTGCTGGAGATAGCCCTGCTGGTCTTGAAGGGGGGGGGGCATGGGGCCATGCTTGAGTGAGGGGAGGGGCAGGAAGTGGGTCTGAAGCCCCCTCTCTATTCTGGAGGGGGTTGGGGGAAAGGTGGTCTCACTGGGATGGTGGGAAGACCACCAGTGTCGAGCTGTTGGCACAGGGTCTGGAGGCATTCAGTAGGAGGCAGTCTGGCAGGCAGCAGCCTCTCTTCTCCACCTAGGCTGCCTTAGAGTCAGGGAACCCAGGGCAAAGGGTATTCCATATCCTGGGAGGATATTTAAAACACAAAGCTACAATTGCCTGAGGCCAGAGATCTGACCGAATTGAAGGTCAGGAAGCTAGTTTCTGACACCCTTGTTGCTTTGGGTGGGGGAGGGGGGAAGATTATAAAGTTCACTTAGTGCTTTTCCATCTTAGATCCTACCTGGTCCTCAGGACAGCCCTTTGTAAAGATCACTGAGGTCCAGAGAGGGCAAGTGACTTGCCCAAGGTCACACAGCTAGGAAAGTGGCTTATTGGGCTCTAGGTCTTTTGTTCTTCCTAGGCCACCATACTTCTGCCCCAAGACCCCTCGTATTTTTCCCTGGCTGGGGAGGAGTTACCCTGGAGACTAGTGCAGGAGGAGACTTGTTAGCTAGGTCCAGACCCTACTGCCAAGGCAGGAATATTCCAGTCTTCCTTTCTACCACGTTATTTTGCTCCATGGTTCTCATTGTGAAGCTCTCAATCTTTTTTCTCTTCCTCCCTTCTCTCTCCTTCCCTCCCCCATGCTGCAGTACATGCTGTGGAGAGTAAGTGGCCCTGCCCCCCAGGGAGGCCAAGCCCCCACTTCTGGGGCAGCCTACCCTCCCAGGAAGGGGGGAGGTTTGGATGGGCCTGGAATAGGGGTCTTATTTTTCAGGTAGGGTTTCTTGAAGCAGGAGGGATCAGGGCCAGAGGGCAGAAAGTACTTGTTCTGGAATAGATGGTATAGACTACCCATGGCATTTCCTTTGGGGGCTGTAGGGGGGTAGGGGCAGGGGGGCAGGGAAAGTGCTTGGATGGCATTCTCTGGTCTCGCCTCACCTTGGGGTTCAGCAGTTGTCCATCAGCTCTATTTAGTGGGAGATAGAGTCAGTGGGGTTTGTTTCCTGAGGTGCAAGCAGGGACTTGGTGGGAATGAAAACCTGGTGTGATGCCTGTAAAGGGCTCCCTGTATATGTCAGGGAAGAAATGGGGTCTGTTCTTAGGCCCAGGAGGGTGTGTACTTGCACACAGGCTCCAGCAGAGCCAGGCTGAGGGGAATGAAGGGTCAAAGAGGAGCCAGGCAGTCGCACTCCAGAAGGAGGGGTGAGGAGGCCTGAGCAAGGATGCTGAGGGAGCCAGGAGGCCAGTCCTACTCCACCTGGTGACACCTTCTCCCTTCTCTCCTAGTCCATGACTTGCAGAGCTTTGGCCTGGACAATGTAAGTACCAGAGACCATGCAGGGCGGATGAGGGTGGGAGATGGATGCTGCCTTCATTTCTCCACAGGGATGTCCTGGGATGGGGGAGCAGATAAAAATACACCATATTCGGCCAGGGAATCAGTCTGAGGGTCAAGAACTGAGATCTGCGCAGGCTGGAGATAGGGGATGGGGTTGGACAGGAGCATCCTGGGCAGAGGGAGCCTCCAGCAAGGTCAGGAGGGAGCGGGGCACTTCTCAGCAACTGTAGGGGCTGGTGTGGCTGGAGAGGTTGGTGGGGACCAGACCACATAGGACTCAGGCAGAGCTGCAGTCTGGTCTTCCTCCTGAGAGCCTCCTGGAGGCTCTTGGCCCTTTAACCAGTGTCATGATGTAATCAAGTTTGCACGTTTTTAAAAATCCCTCTAATAGCTGAGGTTGATAAAGACCGAATCAGGACAGGAGTCGGAGCTAGGAAATCTGGGGCCCCTCCAGCCTAGGCTTCCCTGGCTCAAGACTTGCAGGCACATCTGGCACCTGCCACAGCAGGTCCATGCCCAGTCTTTATTTGCCGTATGTTTGGATGCAGCCAGAACCTCAGACTGTGGAGGTCCAGAGGCCATAGACTCTGTTCCCTGGTGGGGCATGGGGGTTCTGCCTGTCTTGATCAGATTCTCCCAGGCAGGACCCTGCCCTCCCTCCTGCCTCACCACACATCCATTCCCCAAGCCCAGGTATCCCTGTCTGCCACTGTACCGCGGAACCTTTGATGGGGTGAGGCCTGTTGGGGCCTTGAGCGCTCGAGGCTCAGGTGCTGGTATTGCTTGCAGATCAACATGACCCACTACATCCGGCACCTGTCATTCGGGGAAGACTACCCAGGCATTGTGAACCCCCTAGACCGCACCAATGTCACCGCACCCCAAGGTACCAGCCTGGGAGGTAGCCCCCAGTTAGGAGAGCCCTACCCAGCACCCATGCCCAGTGCTCTCTTCCCCCTGCAGCCTCCATGATGTTCCAGTACTTTGTGAAGGTGGTACCTACAGTGTACATGAAGGTAGACGGGGAGGTAAGTCGGCAGGAGCTCAGGTGTCAGGGTCCCTCTTGGTGACAAGCAGAGGCTCAGAGAGGGTAGGTGATTTACTCTCACAGCGAGAGTGCAGGGCCCACACTGTCAGACTTCAAAGCACTTGCACTTTCTACTTGTCCAAACTGCCTCCATCCATTCCATGGGTGCTCACTGTCCCCAGGGTCTCCCCTGGGTTGGGGGCTAACCCTTCCTGGGCCCCCTCCTCCCCTTTCTGCTGTCACCAGTGGAGCAACATCTCGGCAGATAGGAAGTCCGGCCCGGCCTTGCCAGGAGCTCATGATGCAGCCTTGGAGAGTTCCTTCCCATCCCTAAACCCCCACTGAGAGAATCCACCAGATGTAGTTGGGAATGGTGAACTGTAAAGAGCTAGTGACTGAGGGGCAGCTGGGGTGGTGAGGCCAAGGGAGGGTGCCTAGGTGGTCCCCGGGCCTTGTAGTGTTCATAAGCGAGCTGGGGCCTTGTTTTCTCCTCTGCACAGTCAAGGCACTATGGACAAGGGGTGGGAGCAGGGGTAGGGCTGAGGGGGATTGCAAGCCAGGTTATAGAGTCGGCCCTGGCCCAGACTCCCTTCCTGTCCCAGGTGCTGAGGACAAATCAGTTCTCTGTGACCAGACACGAGAAGGTTGCCAATGGGCTGATGGGTGACCAGGGACTTCCCGGAGTCTTTGTGCTCTATGAGCTCTCGCCCATGATGGTGAAGCTGACGGAGAAGCACAGGTGAGGGTGGGGAAAGGGAGGGGCCTGGGCCTGCAGCGAGCAGGGGTACCTGCTGATCCCCTGCCCTGTCCCTCTACCAGGTCCTTCACCCACTTCCTGACTGGTGTGTGCGCTATCATTGGGGGCATGTTCACAGGTTAGAAGCTCGAGGGTGTGTTTGGGGTTGGGGCATGGCAGGGAATGTAAAGCCTGGGCTCCCTGCGGATTTTGGGTTGGGGGAGGAGGAGCACCTCCATGGTGAAGGGGACTTGCTGGCCTAGCCAGTCAGGTGACAAGGCTCTGGGGTTCAGCCAAGGGCCCAACTAGGCCCGTGTCAGCCCTTGTCTCTGTCCCCAGTGGCTGGACTCATCGATTCACTCATCTACCACTCGGCTCGAGCCATCCAGAAGAAAATTGATCTCGGGAAAACAACGTAGCTGTCTCCTTCCCCTCTGTTGTTCCCTTTCTCTTTGGCCTTGTGGTCATTTCCCAGCCTTCTCCCCACCCCTCCGACCCCCTCAGAGCGTCGGTCTCAGCACAGGTTGATAAATCTATTGATTGTGATAGTACTTGCTGGTCTTCATGTGCTTCTTGTGTGGCCAGGGCCTGGAAACAAACCCTTTGCACAGCCATGAACTGAAGGCAATCAGAACTGACAGATCGGACCAGATGCCCTCTGGGAGCCCCATGTGGACATCCCCTGGCTAATTGGGCTTTATTCAAACAAAACTGAAATCCACCCCAGTGCCCCATCCTCAGTCCCTCCTCTGCTGTGGTCTTTGGGCCTTTTGGGTTCAGCTCCAGGGTTGAGATGGACCTTTCCAGTATGAGCTTCCTGGGGCCACCATGGCCCACAGGCTCATGAGTGTCTGACCCCCATGGTGCTAGGGCCGTGGGTGCAGGCTGGGGATTGCCACCTCTTCAGTGATGGCTAAAGCTAGGGCTTCTCCCTGCCACCCTGGGTTCAATCACCTGATCCCTCATCCTCACTGACCATGGTCTATGCCAAGCCCCTGGTGACTCCTAGCACTAAGAGGAGTCCAGGCACGTCCTGTACAGTCTTCTAGGAGGAGGCAGAACTGAAAAATGGAGGGAAGGTAGCAGTGGCCATTCTGGAGCAAGGCTGGCTTCAGACCCCCAGCTCTGGACCTCATCAGGGCTTCCCAGTATAGCCCTTAATAAGTGTGGAGGACCAGGCCCAACACCACACCATGCTGCAGCCCAGGGAAGCAGGGACATTGACAGCTGGTCAGTTCATCCGATTGTTTCTCAGGGAGTGTCCGGGTAAGACAGTAGTAGGGGTTCAAGTAGAAAGGACAGGAAGCCAACTAGGGTGATGATAGCAAAATCTCTAGAGGCAGACCTGAGACCCAGCTCTGATGTGATCACCCACAAGCTGTGTGACCTTGGACATGTCTCATTTATAAGTTGCAGATGATACTGCTGGCTGTAGTGAGCCTTTTTTTTTTAAAGGTCAGCCAGAAACCATTCCTGCTTGTTAATAGTATCCTGAATTTCCTCTAGGAACCTCCCTACTTTCTCAGCATATGTGTTTGGGAGAAGGTTTGACCTCCCAGGACTAGGAAAGCTTTCTTCTAGGTATGAACATGGGGAGACACAAGGCTGGTGGTGCCATCCTGCAGCTCCCAGGGGGAACTCTATGTGCAAATGAGCTGGCCCCAGAGGACAGCAGAACTGAGTCCAGAGGCAGAGAACCGGTCCCAGTGACATCATTTGAGCCCTGTGACAAGCTGCCAGCTAAACACTGGGAATTGCAGCTATGCAAGACACACACACACCCCACCCCCGCCCCCCGCCAAGCCCTTTTTGTTTAATCCAATAGGGTTGGGATTTCTGTTACTTGCAACCAAAAATGTTCTGGCTGATATGCCTACTCTCGGGGTTGAAGAATAAACAAGCTAATGAAGTATGTAAAGTGCTTAGCTGTCACTAAGTGACCCTGCCATTATCAGGAGCAGGAGCAACAGGTGGACTACTCGGCATGACAGCTTGGTGGCCAAGGTCCTCAGCCTGAGCCCTGAGCTTCCTGCCAGGTCCCATTCTTCCTAGTGGCAGCCACCCATCCCCAGCACCTGTTACCCAAGGGCAGCTCTGTTTTCTGCCCCTTGTATTATCATGCACAGCCTATGTTCAGGTGTCAGAGTGGAGGCACAGTCAAGTTCATTCGAAGAAAGCAGTGAACTCAGTCGTGTTGGTGAGAAGGACCCCCAGAGGTTATACGGTTGGTAGGGGAAGAGTGTGCGGGGTCAATTAGGGTCAGGGGGCTGGTGGAGGGGGCGGAAGATGACCTGGCTGATCTGGCCGGGCATGGTGTAGAAGACCAGGAGAAGGAAGATGGTGACCAATGCCAGCAGCAGCAGCAGCACCAGGATGCGCCAGTACCGGCGCCAGATGAAGAAGACAAAGGTCTTCAGCGGGTTCACAAACCAGTTGAAGGAGGTTTTAGGGCGGCTGTGGGGACAGAGGTGGTGTCAGAATGACGAGGAAGCTCCTGGGCTGCCCCCACCTACCTCGGGCTCTGGCCCAGCCTCCTGTGTCGCCCCTCACTTGGGCTTCTCCAAGGGCTCAGGCTCCTTCCGCCCCTTCCCCACTGGCCGCTTCTCTGCCTCCTCCACGGTCAGCAGCTCAAACTCTGCCTCCACCTTCCCCTAGAGAAAGGAGGGAACAGAGGCTGAGCTCTTAGGTGGGCTCAGACCCCACCTCATACCCCCACCCACCCGGGGCCCTGCCCCGGCCACACCCACCGTGAGGATGTGGACGCTGCCTCCAGGGTCTGTGAACGCTAGGTCTTCCGGCCGGCCCTTCCTCTTCTTCTTCTGCCTCTTGCCAGCTCGCACCTCCCTCTGCTCCCGATCCTCATCCTCTGGCTCCCGCAGCTTCACTACGGGCCACCAGCCCCGCAGGCGGCGGCAGCGAAACAGGTTGCACCTCGGCCCTGCCCCATCACGGGCCAGGCGCACGGAGCAGAGCTCGGGGCCCCGGGCCCCCCGCACCATATCTGGCAGCTGCAGCTCCAAGGATCCTGCGAGTGCAGAGCTCTCTGGGTTAGGTAGGAGATCAAGGTCTATCTGGGCCTGGGGTGGTGGGGAGCCACAGCAGGACTGTGCCTCAGGGCATCAGGAACTAAGACGTGGTGCGCCACAGCTGGGGGCCACACAAGCGCAGCCACACGTCAGCAGGTTGTCAGACCCTGGTGAAACGACCAAGGATAGGACCAGACTGCCAAAGTGGGGCCATGGTTTCAGAGTCCAAAGTGACCTGAGTTCAGGTTATGTCAGAAGATTGAGTCAGGGACTTTGGGTGGGAACGGAGGTCAGTAATGAGGCCAGAAAGGTTAGTGACCTAGGGTCTGAAACCCAGGACTCAGGGTTGGGTTACAATAGGGAACCAAGGGCCAGGGGCACTGGCAATGAGGACAGAAAGTAGGGCCAGGGTTTGAGGTAGGAGGGAGGCAAAGCCCTACCAAGGAAGTCGTTGGCAGAGATGCGGTCATAGTCCCAGACCTGCAGGACCAGCACGGCTGGCTGCCGGAACTCGGCCTCCTCCAGGGCGAAGGGTCCAGGCCGGCGCCGGACGCTCACCTCCCGTTCCGTGGGCAGGTAGTCGAAGCGGAACACGAAGCGCCAGTTAAAATTCCCCTCCCCAGTCAGAGAGTTGAAGTGAACGTCTGTCTCCTGCTTGTCATGCTCCAGTCCCTTCACCCAGCTGGAGCCAGGAGAGAGGTACAGGCGGAAGAGTAGGCTTCAGCACTGGGGCCAAACCCAGAACCCAGCTCGCCAACCCCCCCCCAACCCCTGACCACTGGGGGGGGGGGGGCCTCCACCAACTTCAGGTGCCAGAGAGGGCCCAGAAGACAGGGCTGTGGCTCAGCCTGAAGCCCATGCCCCTGACTGCAGTCTCACCTTGGTTCTCAGCCATTTGCCTGGCCTAGCCTACAGGCTTACCTTTTCACATAGATGTCACTTGACATCTCTCCAGTGAGTGGGTTCACATCATCCAGAACCACATCCTCTGTGTTCCAGATGATGACTCTGAGCTCATAGCTGGGGGAAGTATCAGAAGAGAGTTTTCAGACTCTTGGGGTCTTGAGAGGGGCTGCAGGAAGCACCTAGGCCATGGCCATGACATTCATTGAGCACCTCCATGTGCCCAGCTGGGTGATCAGGATGTCTGTGGTACTTACATGGGCAGTCCCAGCTATCACTGACCACCCACTACCCTCACCCACTGAGCACCCACTACCCTCACCCCTATGCTGTCAATCTGTGTGATTCTGGTGGGGAAGACTCACCTCTACCTGGCTCCAGAGGTGGGTACATCACCTAGAACATCACCCAGGGTTAGCCAATGAGCGGATTACAGCCCCCTACCCACAAGGGTTGGTTAAGAGACCAGGATTTGACGCATGCTGATCCAATGAGAGTCAGCCCTGAGACTTCTGCTTTTACTGGCAAACAGGTGTTTGTTTTTCTGCTCAAGTAGTCCAGTTGATGAGATATAAGCCTTGTACCATTAGCAGCCATCTTGCCCCCAGACTGCAGAAGCCTCCCTGAGAGTGAACCCAAGGGAAGCAGAGCCCAGAGGTGGAAAGTGTAGATTGCTGACAATATCTGAAGTACATAGAGCCTATGCAGAACTCCACTCAGACCAGCTCCAGTTGGAAGGGGGCAGACACCCAACTCACAACGGCTTAAGAAAAGAAAGGGAACTTAATAGCTCACCTAGTTGAAAAGGCTGGCTCAGCAGCCTCTGGCTGCTTCACTGGAGGCCCAGGTTTTCAGAGAGCCCTGGTACTGGCAGTCCAAATGTGCCTGCCCCAGGGGAGGCAGGGCCAGAACTCACCTGATGGGCTGCCGAGGCTTGATGTCAACTGGGGGTGGGGCAGGCACATCACGGGGGAAGATGTCAATCCACATGTGAAGGGATCCCTGGGAACACAGGACCAGGCTGAAGGGGTTTGCTGAGGTCCCCACCTCCCGTGATAGCCTTGTGGCCAGAGGCTGTGCCTTGCCCCAGGTGGAGAGGAGCTGGAGTCAAGAGGGCACAGTCAGGCAGATCCTGGAGGATGAGGTCGAAGGTGGGGTTTGAAGTGGGGGGTTCCAGGTCTAAGGTTAGGTTAAGGATAAGGCCCTGGGAGTGGAAGGCTGGGATCAAAAGTAAGATCTGGTGTTCCCAAAGTCCAGAGCCTAGGGACCTGGGGTTGAGGTCAGATCCAGAGTGCCAGGTCTGACCCCTTGGTGGCCAGGGGTGGGGATCCTGCAGGACCAAAGTCAAGGTGGAGGTATTGAGTCCAGGATGGGGGTCTAAGACTGGAGTGGGGATGCTGGGAATCAGGATCAGGAGCCAGAATCAGAAGTGGGAGTGCAGTGCCCAGTTAAAGGTGTTGGGGAAGGTGCATCCTGAGGGCCCAGGGTCCAGGAGCAGGTGGGAGTCCTGGGATTCTGGGAACCCCGGGGGTTCTGGGGTTGGGTGCTGAGCCCTCCCTCACCTGCAGCAGCCCTGGGCTGCGGGGATGGTAGAGGGGCCGAGTTTCTACGTGCTCGGGCACCAGCTGGATCCCAAGCTCCGGCATCTCTTGCCAGCGCCGCAGCACCAGCAATGCCTGTACCTCCTCGGGGACCTCGCTTGCCACTTTGGGGCCCCCCCTACCTGCGAGGAGAGGTGTATGAGCTTGGGTCCCTCACAGGTCCCGAATCTCCCACTTTCCACTCCCACCCCTCAACAGAAGTGCAAAGCTGAGGCAGCTGCTTTGTTGGACAAAGCCCATGGTCCGGGAGGTCAAGTCCACAAGGCACAGAAAGTGGGGAGATGCTTCTCTAACAACTTTTGCCTGTAAAAATCCAGCAGTGGAAGGACAGTGGGATTGGGGGGGCTGTGACTTTGCACAGACTCTGTTTAGAGAAAGACCACCAGCCACTTATGAGGTGTGAGCTCAATTCTGCAGCTACATTTTGTCATGTGGGACCCCTATGTGGGCCACCCTATGTTCTGGAAACTTGATTAGCTATGGCTCTGAGGGGTCCACTTTGACTCTTTGGGGATCATGCTCACCAACAAAGACCATTTTCTCCCCACCATCCAAGAATCTCATCCTTAGCCAAACTCACCACCTCTGCTTGCAAAAGGAGGCAAGTTCTTTTGGGGGACACACTAGAGTGGGCACCAAGGGACCCCTGTACCTTAACAATCTTGCTCCCTATGGAGTGTCCGTCAGAGAGGGGCTGGTACCTGGGGGCAGGGTCTCAGGCGATGTCAGAAAGACTTTGCTGCCCACCTTGACAGCCCCGGCTCGGTATTCAGGGCCAGGGAGGCCACAGCGTTGGCACAGCCCCGCCAGGATCTGGGAAGGCTGGAGCGCATCACGCCAGGCATTGTACCCATCCCTGCGGGCAGAAAGGGAAAATGCTTCAGTTGGAGTCAGCATATGGACACAGGTGGGCACAGGGGCAGGGATGGGGACCCTTGAAGACATAGGATCCAGGTTCATAACTCCAGTACAAGACAGATTAGTCCTTGCTTATGGTAACCAAGAAAATCAAAGATGTATTGCCCATGCTCCAATGGAGGAGATAACTGATATTATCTCCATTTTGCAGATGAGAAAACTGAGGCTCAGAGAGATCAAATAACTTATTATAGGATACCAAATCCCAAGCCCAGGTATTGACCACTATGCTATAAGGTCCTGGTCATAGGGAGGTCCCCTTCTATGAAATCAAAGGATCTGGGGACATCAACAAGAATGTGACCTTAAATGTCTTTGGTCAGACTCAGAATGGCTCCTGAGGGTCTGTGGGACTCACGTGTCATATTGGGAGGCCAGCCCACAGTTCGCCCTGTGATGGCTATAGAATCGGTTTTCCAGATCAATGTGGGTCTCCCCGATGAGGTCGTCAGAACCCACAAGGTCGTGATCAAACACGGCCACAGTCAGCTCTGGCTCGGCAGGAAGAGAGATGCTGAGCTCCAGCACCCTGGCCAGGAGAGAGAATGGCTGAGGACACCTCCATGCCCTAGGAGATGGTCTGGTTGGGGGACAGGGGTTCCAGGGGGCTCAGCAGCCTCTGTCCATTCCCTCACCATCACCATGCCAGCTGCCTGAATGGGATGCCTTGGGCCACAGGGTCAGATGGTAAAGGTGCTCCCATTCCCAAGCCCAGGGCCCAGCCTCACTCTCCAAAGATGGGGTTCAGCTGCTTGGGGATGTAGCGCTCCTTGGTGTCCTGCCGCTCCCGGCCAGCACTCACCACCACGTAAGGGTCTGCCTTGCCATTGGGGTCCGCAGGAGCCAGGTTGGTAGCCTAGGGGGACAATGTGGGTGGGGCTGAGAGAAGTGTCACTGTCATAACCCGAGGTTACCCTTGCTGGACCAAATCTCAGGTTATGTGTAAGTAAGCAAGAAGTTACCGAGGAGGTATCTCGCACCACGAGGAATCAAATGAAAGGTTGCACAAGATGACTTTTTTCTTCTTTTAAGTTAATTATGAAATATTTAAGACATGCAAATAGGTATAATGAAAAATATAATGAGGGGAGCCTGGGTGGCTCAGTCGGTTAAGCGTCAGACTTTGGCTCAGGTCATGATCTTGCAGTCTGTGGGTTCAGGCCCTGCATCAGGCTCTGTGCTGACAGCTCAGAGCCTGGAGCCTGTTTGAGATTCTGTGTCTCCCTCTCTCTGCCCTTGTCCCACTCATGCTCTGTCTCACTCTGTCTCTCAAAAATAAATGTTAAAAAAAAGTTTTTAATATAAAATGAAACAAAATATGTGGAAAGATGTATAGGACTTTGATGTTCAAATCATAACTTTCTATGTTCACTTTTATTTTTTACAATGATAAAGATATTTTAAGTAATATAAAAAGAATAGTACAATGAACATGTGTATGCCCAGCTTAATAAATAAAACACTACCAACAAATGGAAACTCCCTGAATCCCCTTACCTGATTTAATTTCCTTTTCATCACTGAAGTTGCCAGAACCCTTTACTTGAGGTTTATGACTCACACAAAAAAAGTAAAAATACTTTTACTACATATGCATGCATCCTGAAGCAATATATAGCACCATTTTGCATGTTTTTTAACTGTATGTATTAAACTTACTTTTCTGTTTTGGTAACTACATAATGTAGTAAATATATAACCTATGCATAAATTATTGAAGTATAATTTATGTACACGAATATATTTTTAGTGTTTTTTTACCCTCCTGTCTACAGTGAATGAGCATTCCGGTTGCTCCACATCTTTATAAACACTTGGTATTGTCAATCTTTTTTATTTTAGCCATTCTAGCATAGGCAAAACTGTAGCTCATCGTGGTTTTAATTTGCATTTCCCTGATAACTAGGCGTGTTGAGCATCTTTGGATGTGCTTATTCACCTTGTGTATTTTCTTTGGTGAGGTGTCTGTTCATATCTTTTGCTCCACCACTGAGTTTTTAATTTTAAATATTAGACTTTTGGGGCGCCTAGGTGGCTCAGTCGGTTGGGCGTCCGACTTCAGCTCAGGTCATGATCTCACGGTTCATGAGTTCGAGCCCTGCATCCAGCTCTGTGCTGACAGTTCAGAGCCTGGAGCCTGCTTCAGATTCTGACTCCTTCTTTCTCTGCCCCTCCCCTGCTCATTCTTTTTTTTTCTCTCTCTCTCTTTCAAAAATAAATAAAAATTAAAAGAAAAATGTGTCTGGTTTTTTTTAATTAAGAAAAAAATTTTAAGTGTTTATGTTTTGAGGGAGAGAGAGACAGAGTACAAGTGGGGGAGGGGCAGAGAGAGGGAGACACGGAATCTGAAACAGGCTCCAGACTCTGAGCTGTCAGCACAGAGCCCGATGCG